CCCCAAAACCCCAAAACCCCAAAACCCCTTAGTTTTTCTAAAAAATTGAAATTTAATTTTTTATTTTAATTTAAAACCTATTTATACAAAAGGTTCAAAGACATTGATGCAAGATTATTTAGAGTCCATATGCAGATCAAGTTTTGAAATTACCATATTATCATGAAAAGAGTCATAGGATAAGTCATAATACTAAGAATTCAGAGGTATATCACTTCCTTTTTGAACACAGGCAGGGCTGCACCAGAAGGTTTGAAGTCTTTTAAAGTTGTCCACTTTCTAATTCAAGGAATTATTGATATCGTCCATAAGACCTCGACTATAAACTCAGCTGTTAGACCAATTGTAAATATCCATGATTGCTTCTTACTAAGGTTTGCTGCAGGATTGATACCGAAAAGTCTAAGGCTCCCAAATATCACAATTGTGCCTATCAAATCACCGATGTCAAATAATTGTTGAAAGAAGAATTTAAGAGATACTTCTTGAGTTAGCTCATTGTTTCCTTCTTTTGGCAAAGTGATACTTTTCTCTTGAGATTCATTGAAACTTATACTTTCATTTTGTTCTCAGAACTTCTTTTGACTGGATTCTTTTGAAAAATATTGCTGTGGTGGAGTCTATATTGCTAGCATTAAGACCAGTTAACTTTAGCGAGAATAAATGCTGTAGAGGTACCTTAATAATGCGTTCATCTGCATGAGGATCCTTTGCTTTTTCCACCTCTCAGAGATTGTCATAAGACACTTCAGGCTCTTCAAGATCATTGTTCTCTTCAGAGATTCTAGACAAGTTTTTGTTCAGGCTTAAGTCAGAAGGTTTTTCAAACTTCTGCACAAGATCTAGATATGATTTAGATTCTTCTTGAGATCCTCTGAGGCCATCTTTAGAGCTAAGACTGTGCTTCAAAGTCTTCTCTGTCGAGTCTTTAGGAACTGTTTTAGACTGAGATATTTCTTCACTCTTTTTCTTAGTCCTTAATTTTCTTTTGATCTTCTCACTACAAGGAAGGAAGAGGATGAAATATCCAAATGTTTTGTATCCAAACTTCAGAAGCACTATGAAGACTATTACAAGAGGAAGATCGATGTTAAGAAAAATGAATTTGTAGGGTAGGGCTGCCAGCCCTAAGCTGAGGAACTCATACAAAGTTTCAACTTTGTACTTCTCCACCATCTTTGCCTGGAAGAACTTTATGGTTCCTACTCCAAAAGGATAAATAAGACATAAGAACTGAGCATAGTAGGGATGCGTGACATACACCTCTTCAAAAGCCATTCCAAGATAAATAGAGAATAACAGCTGCACTAGAAGTAGCTCAATCCCAAGAATGGGACTTAATGTGCAACAGTTATATTCCTTCTTTATAATTTTCTGGCTTATATCAGTATTTATGGATTTCTGTTTATCCTTAAAACAGAGATTAATCAAATAATACAGCATAAAATGCTGAAAAATAATGAAAGCGATTGGAATGGTTCTATCCAGAGCCATGAGCCTTACAGAGACGTTAGGAGTAACAAACTCTTCAATAATTTGGAAAACTAATACTCCAGTTATGATATCGAGAGTTAAGAGAATGCAGATTATCAGAATATTTCTTAGAATAAATAACTGTTTTACTTTTGCTATCTCTTTAAACTTTCGAAATATCAAAGTGTGTCAGAATACACCAATAATGAAGCTCATATAAGCTGATGAGAAGAAATGACTACTTGGTGAGAATATTATAGGCATTGCTGTTAATAGGCTAATAGCTATCCAAACTGACAAAATAATCAGTATATTCAGATAACTCATCTCTTTTAAGTTTATGAGATTAAACTTCAATGACTTTAGAAACGATTTATGATTCTTTAAAGACTGATTAGAAACTTCATGCAAGTCGACCTCTTTGCTCTGAACTTGCTGCTTAACTTCTTCTGATGCAATTTCATCATTCAGTGGCTCTGTCTTTACATAATCAACACTTAAGCCTTCTTTTATAATACTAGTTCGGTGCTGTTTCAGTCCACTTGAATTGTCTTGCTCCATAGGTTGATCATCAAATTGCTGTTGTTGTTCCATATATAATTATTTTAGTTTTCTACCTTTCGAATAAAATTAGGGGTTTTGGGGTTTTGGGGTTTTGGGGTTTTGGGG